ACCTGTGACCAGCCCTCGCGGCCTCGGAAGCTGCCCAGCCGACCCGACCTTAGTTCTGCCCGCGGTGCAGCCTCCCCTCTCCTGGGACTCCACTGAGTCCCAGGCCTCCAGCCTCCTCCCTCAGTGTCCCACTGAGCAGCCTCCCTGAAGCTGGCTGGATTCAAACTCCTCAACAGGCTAGACCGCTGGAGAGGAGGGCAGTAGCCTCCCTGACCCTCAGTTTCCTCGTCTCTGCACTGGGCTCAGCGTTGTTCCTGCCTCCTACATTTGAGGCCGAGAGAGCCTCCGTAACTGGGCGCCTGGTCTGGCCAGGGCCCAGAGACTGTCCTCCCCTCTCCCTAGCCTGTCTTCTCGTCTGGCAAACAGGGACAAAGATGGTCCCTTCCTTTAAAGGGTCTTGAAAAGATTGCTGTTCTGGACACTGCACAGGGCTCCATGCCTGCTGGCCAGAGGAGGCGGGGCAGGATCCTGGGAAGAGGTTTTGGGGGGTGGGGGTTGGTAGCAGGAGGGCCAGAGGGGAGGAGAGATTGGGGCTCTCAGTAGGGCTCTTGGGTTGCGGGTTGCGGGTGGTGGGCTTGGTGGGAGTGGTGGCTGGCAGCAGCAGAGGGGCTGAAACAGCGACTGGACTTGTAGCAAATTGGGGCGGGGTGGCCTGTCCATGTTTCCCAGATGGAGAGCCTGAGACTTTGGCTGCAGGGAGTTCTACCTGTGCATCCCTGGAGATCCCACCTCCGCCCAGGCCTGGAGCTTACAGGGATTGGGGGCTGTGGGGTTCTGAGAGTTACCCCCTTAACCCTTGCTCTCTGGGCTCTACTCAGTGACCCCACTGAGGATGTTGTGGTTAGGGAGGGAGCTCTTCTCAGGACTGAGCCAGGTGGGAGTGCCAGGGACATGGGGTGGGGGCATCACCACTTGGCTCTCACCCTAGACTGCAGAGACAAGTGAGATGCGTGGCAGGACCCCAGCCCTACCCAGCCTGGTCCATCCTTCCCATGGACCCCTGGCCCCATTCTGGCCTGGGCCCTGACCCCTGACTCCCTGAAGATGTGTGGCATTCTCAGGCCTTAGGTGGGTGGGAGCATGGGGTGGTTCAGAGCCCCCCACTCCCTGCCATCCTTGGTCCTGAGGACCTGTCCAGGGATACTGGACACAGGCCACATGCTCTTTTGCCCTTGGGGTCTCCCCAGAAGCCCAGCAGCTGTAGGTGGTGAGGGGGTGTCAGCCCCTCAGGGAGAGGCTCTCAGTCCTGTGGCATCTTGGGTGTCTTTTCCTCCTTTCTTCCTGTAAACATGAACTCAGCTCAGGCGTGCGCACACAGGCAGGCGCTCAGGGACATCCTGCTGCCCCAGGTGTTTGTGTACATTTGGGACGCTGTGACTTTTTTCGCTGCACTCAGCCTGTGCTTGCTCTGAGCTGGAGGAGGTTGCGGGTAGCTGCAACAGTATTGCTTCTTGGCTTTCACCCCTCCTGGGGTTCCCCCCTCCATTTTAATCTTCCCGGGACCATGCAAGGGACAGTGTGAGATGTGGTGCCTGCCCTGAGCCCGGGGGCACTGGTGGCTGCCCAGGGTGTGGGGGGCAGGAGGGGGAGGGGCCCCTCTCCCCATCCTGCACAGCCAGAGCCCTGGGCACAGAACTTGTGCCACAGTGGGGGAGCAGGCCTCCGAGTCCAGAGTCTCAGGCCTTGTGCCCTTCCTGCACCCCGCCGGAGGCTCTTGGGGCCCAGCCTGCCTGGCGAATAGCTGGAGAAGGGTTGCTGGAGCAGGGGCAAAGGTAAGAGGGGGTGGATTGGGGGCTCGAGGGCTCTGCCCATGAGGGATCATGAGGCACCCTTCCTTGGCGGAGAGAAAAATGGGGGCTGTGAGTAGTTGGGAAGGCGGGGGCCGGGCCTTGGGTTGAGTGCGGTGGCTGGAGTGTCTGCTGACCTCTGGGTCACGGCTGGAGGGGTCTGGGGGGCACTTGTTTGGCCCCTTATCACACAAACGGGGTCACTGAGGCCCAGAGAGGCCAGCGACATGCCTGAGGTCTTCCACCCTTCTGTCGGGTGGGAGGGAGACTGGGTGCTCCTGGGACCCCCTTATCTGTGGCCTTTGGAGTTGAGACTCAGAAGAGGCAGGCATGGAGGTGCTTGTGGCTATCTCTGTGGCCCTCCAGAGTGGCCCTTGCTGTGGCCCTGTCACAGTGTGACCCCTCTCTGGGTCATCTGTGCTGTCACCACCTTGACATGTGTCTGGTAGTTGTCCCTTTGGCTGTGTGGTCTGTCCCCGCCTCCTGGAGCCATAGGAGGGCAGAGCCTGTGCCTGAGCCATGGGGATGCAGTGACCGGGGGACACTGACCGGCGGGACGCTTCCTGCAGAACGCTTGAGCGAATAGCGGGGCTCTCGGCTGTGCATGGGACCAGGCTCCCTCATCCCTGGGCCCTGCAGCCCTGACTGTGTGCCTGAGTCCCTGCCTTTGGGGACTGGCTGCCACAGAATGGTCTGGACTCAGACATTCCACAGTAGCCAAGACTCCGAAGAGGAGAAGGGTGACTGCCCTGGGGGTGGGGCGGGGTGTCTGCTGACCGAAGGGTGTGGGTGGGGGCCAGGCTCAGTCCCGTCAGTGGGGCTCAGCCTCTGTTGCCACAGACGGACCCGTGTTCTGCGTGCTGTGGCTCAGCTCACTCCAGGTGTGTGTGTACCCCTGAAACCTTTCTCCTCTGTCCTTCTCCACTACATCCTGGCTATCCTAACACCTCGGGGCCCTGGGTCATCTCTGGCAGGAGCCGAACTTCCTTGTGCTCCCACATGGGGAGACTGAGGCCCGAGGAGGTCAAGGGTAGGGCCTGGGAGAAGCAGCGCCCGTGACTGTGGGCTCAGGGTGGAGTCCACCCCTGCGGGAGGCTCCCATGACCCCTTTCCATCCATCCCCTTCTCCCCTCCTTCCCCAGACGCTGCCTGCCGTGGACCAGCCTGGGCTTTATGGAGAGGGCCCCGGGGGCCAGTCCTGAGCACTGCCGTGCCCAGCATCTCTGCGCCTGCTGCTGAGAGGGCCCCGCGCCGCTGGCTCTCACCATTGCCCTCGCCTGCCGATGGCCTCCGCAGCCTGGCCTGGGGCCAGCTCT